CAACGAGAAACAGGGGAGGGGAGACCGCAAGAAGTACGGCTGACACATCCGGCTAGAGCGGCGAGGTGGGAACGCAACTGCGTCCATCTCGGCGGCCACCGGGATTATTTATGCGTTGCCCCCAAGTTGTCTCTCCTTTTGCTTTGTTTAACTCCTGCGTGACAAGGCCGGAAGGGCTCTCGCCTTTTGCAAAAGAGGTGGGGGCCGATGCGGTCAATGTCGTCTAACCATCGGTCTGAAGGTGGCGAGTCGAACTCGTCTTGAGAGATGAGCCCCATCGTTTAATGACAACCAACCAAAAGTCGGACATAAACTGATTGTCGTGGTCGCAAACGATCTCCTTAGGGTAACCCTTGGTTCGAATCTGACCAACATAGAGAACGTCGGCTAGTTATGGTACCTTGATGTGATAGCGACAAGGCAAAAACATGGTGAACTTGGTGAATCGATCGACCACCAAAAGAAATCCATCCACGTCGGTCATGTGCTTGGGGAACGGCCCGGTGACATCCATTTCTATCGATTCCCGTCGTCCTAAGGGGACCGATAATGGTCGTAATTCGCCGAGCGCACGATGATTGTGGGATTTGCAACGTCGACAAACCTCTCAGGACTCGCAATAGCGTGTGACGTCGTTGAGAAGGCCGGACCACCAAAAGCGCTCACGAAGCCGGCCAACTGTAGGATTGACAACAAAATCTCTAGTGGTGGGAGCGTCGTGGAAATCACCAAGAAGTCGCGTTGTCGGGGCAAATACCCTGACAAGGGCATTTGCGTGGGTTTTTCAACGTCGGACACTGTCCGACTCTTTCATTGAATTGAAGGACTTGATGAGACTGACGTTTGCTAAAAGTTTATTCAGACCTGACCTAATAACTAAGAGATTAAAGGTTTTCGAGTTTAGTCCGGACGCTTGTGGCGTTTGAGTGTAACGATAGTAGTTGGCAGTGCTCCGCTCTTGTCGAAGCCGCAGAGGCGTGCGGGCATGGAAGTGGTAGAGCTAGACCTACTTTACCTAAAATAATGTTGCGCTGCTGCTAAGCCACGCGATTCAGGGCCCGAGTGGGCTAAAAAGGGGGATGCGCCGGGTATGGGGCCACGACGCAAGAGGAATAGGAAGATTCAGGGTTGCGGGCATTGACTTCGAGACAGGGGGCCGAGAGGCCGATGCTAAGGCCTACCCACGTAAGTGATCGCTGAGCCGTGGATGGGCAACCATCCATAGGGGAAGTGCTGGGCAAGGCAGACTGGGCCTGTCGAGTGTGGGTTGGGCCTACTGGGGGCTGCACCTCTCCATATAGAAGAGGAGCAGGTCTAGCTCCCGTGATAGGAGCTAGGCCAATAGGTTACAGTCCACAACTTCCATCCGACAGATGCTGGGATCGAATCTGAGAGACTGCGCTACTGGGCTAGCTCCTTTTGGAGCTGGCCACCTAGAATGCTATCGGCGCGGTCGATTCCCACCGTCGATCGCGAAGATTGCGCGGCCGAGATCGGCCGCGCTGATCTACACGGCCCCTGCACAAGGATGACACGCATAAATCAAGAAATGATCCAGCGAGGATCGAACTCGGGTATGTGACTTGGAAGGGCGTGGCTGAAAAGCCACGTGGTGACCTGTGTACTGGCCATTGGCATACGCACGGAAAAGACCCGGAAGAAAAAAAAAAAAAAAAAAAAAAAAAAAAAACTAAAATGAGGCACCACATGGCGCCGTAAGAAGTGTCTGGGGCGTTTAGATCCCCAGTGCACCAGACGGTACCCGTTTTCAACGTGCAGCCGTTTTTTTCTTTTTTACAGATACAAGTGGACCCCCAGCAGCCACGCTGCGATCAAGGACGACGCCAAAAACATTTTGCAAAACACCCCAGACATCGGTTGGACTCCATCTTTGCAATGCACCTCGCCAGACACCGTCCAGCTTTGCAAAATGCCCCGGTAGTCCCCAACTTTTTGTGGGTGCGAATGCAAAAAAAACGCCTAATTTCCAAGGACATTTTGACATATATCGCAACATATGGGGGTATTTGGCCAATTACCACCCCCCCAAAAAAGACCAACGGCATCTTCTCGACGTATGGAGGAAGATATGCCAGCTCTCTCTCTCTCTCTCTCTCTCTCTCTCTCTCTCTCTCTCTCTCTCTCTCTCTCTCGCTCTCTCTCTCTCTCTCTCTCTCTCTCTCTTTCTCTCTCTCCCGCCCGCAC